ACCCGGCACTCACCATAAGGAGTTTGCTCTTCACGAGGGCCTAATGCAAGAGAATGGGGACACCCAAGTAGGTATAAATAAGTTACAAGAAATTAAACTAACCATCGGTTATACCTACTTGGGTTGTCAGTCCAGATGTGAAGAGGTAATCATGCGACGATATACATATGAATACTTATTAAAAGGCGCATTATATAATGATCTTGGTACTGGCCAATACGACATCATCTTTTGTTTGGTTACCCAGCCACGCTGACATTTCTAGGAACACAATGGCCGATCTTGCTGCAGAGGCAGCACTCAAGAAATCGGTGACACCGCTTCTTATTCCATACTCTGATTATTAAGCTATAATCAGATATTATATCCGTGGTCTGATGCAGCAGAAGGGGGACACCCAAGTAGGTATAAATATATTACATGCAATAAAACCTTATATTAGTTACACCTATTTGGGTCGTCAATCCAGATTTGAAGAGGTTCACTACACGACGATGTCGTATTGGTCATTCAAGATATTCACACGGATACCTTTTGAAAGGAGAGGATCCTCCGTTTTGTATCCCTTGTGATGAAAGAATCACGGTCAAGCATTGTTTGACTTTGTTGATTTTTCCATCACAAGGGGAAAATAGTTCCATGTAAAGACGCTGAAGGATCTTTTTAGTAATGTTAATTGCCATTCTTTTATTGAATTTTTGAAAGAGATAGCTATTTTAATGTATGGCTATCGAAATTTGCTAATAGCTGAAGGAATGGTGTAAATCCTGCTGGGGTCCATGCAGGAAGCAAATGTATTGTAAGTCCCTTTGGTCCCTAGTGTATGGTGATCTACCTTCAGTTGTTGGCAACTGCTTTTATATTGTATCGTCTTATATAGTTAAAATGTTTTAAATTTAATTACTGGTTCTTAAATATATATATGTGATAAAGTTGTTTTACTCTCCATCGCTGACAGGCTTTTATACTTTAACTATAATCACTATAAATGTATACCTTGACCTAGTCACGATAAGGCTGAAATACTGCCAATGTGACATATAATGTTTACTCATTCACTAAATTGTTTAGGCCACAAGTTAACCTTAGATTGACAACATTTTGAAAAGTCAGAAACTAATGAATTATTATCTAAACGGGAATTCAATATATTTGAAAGTAACTGTAATACATACAAGTCCTCATTTATATATGGATTCAAGGATGAGGGCGCAGTGGCTTGGGCCACTATCATTGGATCCAGAACAATATGTTTTAGATTAGCAGACGATAGTTATATTTCCACTGCCGAGGCAAATGCCATATTACCAACGTTTACATACATTAAAAAACACCCTAAATATAAACAATATATACTACTCACAGTTTGCTAAGGATCACAAACTTCGCAACTTTCCTTAAACGTAGATTTATACTTTGAAATAGTATCCATTTAAAACTGAATAAATGGTAACACATCTTTAGGAAAGCAGCCACTTTAAGCTTACCGTATGCACTTGATACATGAGTAACCATAAAAATCGTTTTCATGGCACCAATCAACCATTGACATGTATGCAATACCTGTCAATAGAAGGTATAGGTTCCACAAGATGCAATGACAAACTGAACCCTCGGATCTATGCTTAGATATTTAAACCAAATTTGACCCCACCTCATAGGTATTTGTTGAATCCATGATTTGATCCTTAGAAAAGTGTGAATAGTATATAATTATGATATTTTCTGACACTCTTTCGTGCCTTCAGGCTATTAAAAATCTATCTTGCAAACATCCACTTTTAATCGAAATATTTGAATCATATAATGATCTTGCTACTTGTCAATACGACATCGCCTTCTGTTGGTTACCCAGCCACGTGGGTTACCTCTGATAACACAATGGCCGATTTTGCTGCTAAGGCAGAATTCAACAAATCTGTGACACCAATCCTGATCCCATACTCTGATTACAAATCTGTCATTAGATCGTACATCCGTGATCTGATGTAAAAGGAGTGGGACACTCAAGTAGGCATCCATAAATTACATGCTATTAACCAACCATCAGTTACACCAACTTGGGTTGTCAGTCCAGATTTGAAGAGGTCATCATGCGACAATGTCTCATTGGCCACACAAGATATACTCATTTGTCCATTGTGATGAAAAGAATTACGGTCAAGCATGTCCTGCTTGACTGTATTCATTTTTCCATCACAAGAGAAAAGTATTTCGATGTAAAAACGTTGAAGGATCATTTTAGTAAAGTTAATTACCTTTGAATTATTGAATCATTAAAAGAGGTAGAGTTAATCGAAAAAATATGATTGATATACTTTGTAGATATATGTCATTTCATGATTGGTGGTTAAGATTAGTAACTGAGCTTGTTAGTGGCTGTACCCTCAAATGGGGGTTGAAGTATATTGTCAAAGTATTGCCCTTCTGATAGCGTACGTATGTCTCAAGCAGTTAAAGTAAATTTAAACATACTACTATTTGTAACCGCAGTATGTAGTCTATTTATATTTATGGCTAGATTATCAAAAAATACTAATAGCTGAAGAGATGATGTAAATCCAGTTAGGGACCATGGGGACTTACGGTAGTTTTGCTTCCTGCATGGAAGCAAACTACCGTAAGTCCCCATTGGACCTAGTATGGTGATCTACCTTCAGTTGTTGGCAATCTATAGCCTGTTTTCTATATCGTATCGTCTTCTATAGTTAAAGTGTTTTGGATTAAATTACTAATTAATTACTGGTTTATATTTACATACTTGGTATCTTGAAACCAATAACCTTATAACAAATATTTAATATGGTTTCAGGACAAATCGTAGAACCATTGATCATTTAAGATACGACCTGGAAGCATGGCATTTTGAAGGATTTACATGATTTTGGTTTGAGAGGCCGTTTGCCTCTTTTTATATCACAGTTTTTAAAAGACAGGCAATTTCAAGTCCGAGTGGGTTCAACCCTGTCTGATCATTACAGTCAGGAACAGGGTGTCCCTCAAGGCAGTATTTTGTTTGTCACACTGTTTAGCATCAAGATAAATAGTTTATCAAAGGTTTTAAATGATTCAATTGATGCCTCATTATTTGTGGATGATTTTATTATTTCTTGTCGAGGTAAAAATATGCATACTATTTAATGGTAACTGCAGTTATGTTTAAACAAAATAAATAAATGGTGTCTTGAAAACGGCTTTACATTTTCTAAATCCCAAACTAATTGTATCCATTTCTGCCGTAAATACAAACGGCATAAAGACCCAGAACTATTTTTAAATGGCACCCCCATCAAAGTTGTGAAGGAGGCCAAATTCTTGGGTCTCATTTTCGATTCCCATCTAACATTTCTGCCACATATTAAATCCCTTAAAGCTAAAGACCCGTGAAGATCCGGGGTAGAACAGGTCTTCAGCAACCCATGCTTGCTACAAAAGACAACTGTGCTTGTCGTAAGAGGCGACTAACGGGATCGGGTGGTCAGGCTCGCTGACGTGGTTGACACATGTCATCGGTTCCCAGTTGCGCAGATCGATGCTCATGCTGTTGATGACTGGATTGTCTGGTCCAGACTCGATTATTAACAGACCGCCGCCATTTAGCTGGAATATTGCTGAGTGCGGCGTAAAACTAAACTCACTCACCTTAAAGATAAATGCCTGAAGGCACTCGATTTGTTAAAGGTTGTTTCCAATTCAAAGTGGGGAAGGGATCAAACTACCCTCCTCCACTTATATAGATCATTGGTGCGATCTAAACTTGATTATGGCTCCATCGTATATGGTGGAGCCTGCAAAAGCAACCTTAAACTACTTGATTCTGTTCACCACCAAGGCCTAAGGCTTTGTCTTAGGTCTTTTTGAACTTCTCCAGTTGACAGTCTCTATGTTGAGTCAGATGAGCCATCCCTTAATTAACGTCGTATAAAATTTCCCTTACGGTATATAACAAAACTTTATAGTAACGAGTCTAATCCTGCATTTAACTGTGTTTTCAATCCTCTTTATGAGGATTTATACAACAAAAAGTCTTCCCTTGCCCCGCCTGTTAGGCACACCATTCATTTCTGCTGTCGGCATTGAGCTGGAAAATATAGCTCCTTCCCGTCCGCTTTCTTCTTCTCCTTGGCAACTGTTGAGGCCTGAACTTGATCTAACTCTGACAAAGTTTAAGAAATCAGCAACTTGATCAGAAATCAGAAATACGATATAAACAGGAATAAAGTCAATCAAAAATTAAATATAATACATACAAAACCTCATTTACAGATGGGTCCAAGGATGGTGACGCGGTGGCATGTGCCACTGTCATTATTCCAGAACAATATCTTGTAGAATACCTGATCACTGCACTATTTTTACAGCAGAAGCAAACGCCATATTAACGGCTCTTTAATATATTCAAAGACACAATAAAACATAAACAATACATAATCTTTTCCGATTCTCTTTCGTGTCTTCAGGCTATTAAAAATCTTTCTTGTAAACATCCACTTTTAATAGAAATTATTGAATTGTATAATGAGCTTGCAACTGGCCAATGCGACATAGTCTTTTGTTGGTTACCCAGTCATGTTGGCTTTTCTGGGAATACAATGGATGATCTTGCTGCCAAGGCAGCACTCATTAAATCTGTGACACAACTTCTTATCCTATACTCTGATTACAAAGCTAGCATTAGAACCTACATCCGTGATCTGATGCTGAAGAAGTGGGACACCCAGGTAGGTTACACCTACTTGGGTTGTCAGTTCAGATTTGAGGAGGTCATTATGAGACGATGTCGCATTGGCCATACGCCTTGTACTCACAAATACCAAATAAAAGGTGGAGATCCTCCCTTTTGTATCCTTTGTGATGAGAGAGTCACGGTCAAGCACGTCTTGCTTGACTTTGTTGAATTCTCCATCATAAGGGATAAATATATAAATATTTCAATGTGAAAACACTTAAGGATAATTTTACAAATGTTAATTTCATTTAATTATTGTTTTTTTTGAAAGAATGTGATTTATTTCATGAATTCTGATTAATGTGCTTTGTAAATAGATATATTTTAAAGATTCGTAGTTTAGATTATAAAAAATGAGTAACTTAGATTGTTAGTGGCTGTACCCTCAAAGAGGGTTAAAGTATTGTAAAATTATTGTCCTCCTGAGAGGGTACGTAAGTCCCAAAACTTTTAAAGTAAAATATAAATTTACCACATTTTAAACGTAGTATTTTTGTTATTTTAACTGGCGGCTAAATTTTCCTACAATCGCCAGCGGCTGAAGGGATGGTGTAAATCTAGCTAGGATCCATGCAGGTAGCAAAAGTCACGTAAGTCCCCATGGTTCCTAGTATGGTGATCTACCTTCAGTTGTTGGCGATCTAAAGCCCGTGTTTTATACTGTATTGTCTTCTTTAATTGGGATGTTTTAGTTTTTGCTCGCTAGTTTTATATTCATATCTGTGATTCTCTAGTATTTTTACTGTCCATCGTCGACAGGTTTTAATCTTCAAAATGTTTTCACTTTTTATTGTATAAATTGTTTTCATCACGATATGGCTGAATGCCGATGTGACGTTAAAAATTAACTCACTCACTCACTCACTCACTCACATACTAGTTATATATTCATATCTGTGATACTCTAGTATTTTACTGCCCATCGTCGACAGGTTTTAATCTTCAGAGTGGCTATAGATCGCCAACAACTGAAGGTAGATCACCAAATTAGGGACCATGGGGACTTACAGTACCTTTGCTACCGACATGGACCCTAGCTAGATTTACATCGTCCTTTCAGTCGCTGGCGATTGCAGTTATATTTATGCATAATTAAAAATAAAAAAAATTCTTCGCTTAACATCCTGGTAAGTTTTAAATTTACTTTGATAGTTTCGGGACTTACGTACCCTCTCAGGAGGACAATAATTTTACAATACTTTAACCACCCTTGAGGGTACAGCCACTGGCAATCTAAGTTACTAATTAAACTTCCAATCATTGAAAAATATCTGTCTACAAATTATCAATCAAACTTTATCAGATACTTCATTGGCCTTTTAGAAGATGCTATTTGATGAACATAGAGATCTTCTTTTTATTGTTAAGTACAACGTTTCAGGGTTTGTTCTGGCCCATTCATCAGGTAAAACTTTATCAATCAGTTCAATTTAAAAACTCAATAATTAAATGATAATTTACTTTGTTAAAAAGATCTGTTATCGTTTTAACGCTGAAATATTTACCCCTTGTGATGGAAAAATCAACAGTCAAGCCTGATATGCTTGACCATGATTTTTCACCACAAGGGATTCAAAACGGAGGATCCTCACCTTTAAGTGTATATTCGTAAGTATATCTTGTGTGGCCAATGCGACATCGTCCTCTACAAATCTGGGTTTAACCGATAGTTGGATAGTTTAGCTCATGTAATTTATTGATAACTACATGTGTGTCCCGCTTCTTCTGCATCAGATCAGTACGTGAAAAAAGAGCTGTTATTTGGTAATCCGGAAGAGATTGTTCTGGATCCGATGACAGTAGCACGAGCAACTACGCCACCATCTTGGACCCATTGTAAATAAGGATTTGTTTGTATGTGCATGATGAGAAGAAAGAAGACGGGAAGGTGATATATTTTCTAGCTCAATGCCAGCAGCAGAAAGGAAAGGTTTGAGTCTTAGGCCAAGAGGCGGAACAACATAAGATTTTTTTGTTGTACAGATCCTCATAAAGAGGATTGACAACACAGATGAATGCAGGGTTAGACTCGTGAGTATAGAGTTTTGTTTTATTCTGTAAGGATAATTTTATACAGCCTTGGTTAAGAGATGGCTCATCGGCCTCGACGTAGAGTCCCAAGAAGACCTAAAAGACCCAAGACAAAGTCTTAGACCTTGGTGGTGGACAGAATCTAATAGGTGTAAGTTGCTTTTGCAGGATCCACCATGTACGATGGAGCCATAATCAAGTTTAGAGTTTGATCCCATCCCCACTTTGAATTGGAAACAACTTTAAACAAATCGAGTGTTTTTAGACATTTGGCTTTAAGGGTTTTAAAATGCAGCAAAAACATTAAATGGGAGTCGAAAATAAGACCCAAGAACTTGGCCTCCTTGACAATGTTGATGGAAGTGCCATTTAAAAATAGTTCCGGGTCTTTATGCGGTTTATATTTACGGCAGAAATGTATACATTTTGTTTTTGATTTAGAAAATTTAAAGCCGTTTTAAAGACACCATTTATTTATTTTGTTTAAACACAACTGAAGAACATCTTTCATGACTTCAGGCAATCAGTTCAGTTCTACTGCAGCGTGAGGAACAGATTTGCCAGTACAGGACCTTGCACCATGGTCAAACCTATGGCATTTGTAACACCGGAGTGGGTTTGGTACATACTTCTGACATTAACATTGACATTAACCTGATTGACCCATGAGCTACCGCCTTCTGGATATATGCAGATAAATGTCACGTCAAATAAATGTCACGCCAACGGTATATACATAGATGATAAAGGTGGCTCTATCCAGTCTGGGATGTATGAGAATATATGAAAAATACCCGGCATTACCTTGTACACAAACAGCCTTTCCAGATCGAGTCTCCAAACACCGTTGCCCGCAATTGCACTTGTTAGATGCACAGGGACCAGCCGGGATCTTCAAACAGGAGAAGCAAGTTCTATGAGAGAATGCCACTTACTCGAGTGCAGTTGTTGAAACACATGAGCTTATATTTTTTGATAAACACCTTTTCTTTCTTTATGTCTCATGTCACATTTCCATAATTTTCATTTTCATTTATGTTCCTTTTCAATGACCACCGTTTGGCGATATTACCCAAAAATAAATAATGCATGTTTAGATATATTCAGAGAAAGATCTCTTATAACTTCCGGTATGTGAAGGAAATTCTAACTGCAGGACAAGATGTAGATTTTATGTTTTGATTTTCAGTATCTATTATTCACCATGATAACGGCCTGAAGTTAAGTGGATTGTATTTTAGGAGCTCCGGCCTGCACTTCCGGGACGATGGTTTGAGGTAAACGTCACATAGACAAAAGTGATCAAAATGTGTTGAGGAGATTTTGTGGTCGGCATGGGAAGGACAATTCCAAGATACATCAGTGAATACACTTATTCAAGACCTTATTTTTAGTACATGTTCTGGCGAATTATCACTTGCGCCTCTTATAAAAACACCTGGTGTCATCGATATGTGGTAGTGATTAATTAACACATGCTGGGGATTCGTCGGAATTTATAATGAAGTTTATAAGAGATTTCCTATTACTATGGGCAGCTGGCTTTACTTACATGTGGATGACCCCTTGCAAGGGTGACATAGCCTTCATCCGTCTTCATCATCGATGGTTCAGCTCTCAACAAACGACAGGTTAAACTTTCAATATTGTATTGAATACTCAAACACAGACTATTTTCAATACATTTAAGCTGACAAAGTTTGATGCCATCATTCTTGATGATGACAGAACTGTCCGTTTCAGGTTTACACTGATTCGAACTTGATGTTGGAAACGACACCATCAGAATAACCGTTAACTGTAGGAGCAGTTTCACACAGTCACACGCACATCTCGTTATCGGATGCTTTATCTAGACAAGTGGTATAGTCGAACCTTATATGCTATAATTCATTAGTGAATGCTCATTCAACCACTTTACTGTCAGATTAGATTCTGAGCCACCTGCATACTAAATCTCTGTGCATGCCACCAGCACCCATGCATGCCACCATCAGCACTGAGCTACCCATATCCTATACCACTGTGCCTGAGCTATCTCTGTGCCATGCATGCCACCTCCATACTGTGCCATGCATGCCACCAGCACCCTGAGCTCCTATACCTGAGCTACCCATTCCTATATCACTGTGCCATGCTACCTTTATCCCATGCCACCAACACTGTGCCATGCATGCCAACAATATCCTGGGCTAACCATATCCGGTACCACATGCATGCCACCAGCACCCTGAGCTACCTGTATCCTATATCTCTCTGCCATGCATGCCACCATCACCCTGAGCTAACCATATCCTATATCACGGTACCATGCATGCCACCAGCACCCTGAGCTACCTGCATCCTATATCTCTCTGCCATGCATGCCACCAGCACCCTGAGCTACCTGTATCCTGTATCACTGTACCATGCATGCCACCAGCACCCTGAGCTACCAATATCCTATATCACTGTACCATGGATGCAACCAGCACCCTGAGCTACCTGTATCCTATATCACTGTAACATGCATGCCACCAGCACCCTGAGCTACCTCTATCCTAAATCCCTGTACCATTCATGCCACCAGCAACCTGAGGTACCTGTATACTATCCATATCTCTCACCATGCATACCAGCACCCTGAGCTACCCATATCCTATATTACTGTACCATGCATGCCACCAGCACCTGTGAGCTACTTGTATCCCATATCACTGTGCCATGCATGCCACCAGCACCCCTGAGCTAACCGTGGTCCTTATTACTGTACCATGCATGCCACCAGCAACCTTGAGCTAACCATATCCTATATTACTGTGCCATGCATGCCACCATCACCCTGAGCTAACCATATCCTATATTACTGTACCATGGATGCAACCAGCACCCTGAGCTACCTGTATCCTATATCACTGTGCCATGCATGCCACCAGCACCCTGAGCTAACCATATCCTATATTACTGTACCATGCATGCCACCAGCACCCTGAGCTACCTTTATCCTATATCACTGTGCCATGCATGCCACCATCACCCTGAGCTAACCATATCCTATATTACTGTACCATGGATGCAACCAGCACCCTGAGCTACCTGTATCCTATATCTCTGTACCATGCATGCCACCAGCACCCTAAGGTACCTGTATCCTATATCTCTGTACCATGCATGCCACCAGCACCCTGAGGTACCTATATCCTATATCTCTGTACCATGCATGCCACCAGCACCCTGAGGTACCTTTATCCTATATTACTGTACCATGCATGCC